GATGTTCTATTACAGGTTTCCCACGCCCTTTCTTTAAAGATGTTTGAAGTTGGGAACTCAGAAAAATACACTTGATGACCACCTCTGTCTTTGCAGAGTGGGTCCAAAGACTGGCACAGTCAGGAGATCTGAGAGTGCCAGGTGGGGGGGATTCCCGTGGTGGATCGGGGCCAGCCTACCTCCCGGTGCTTGAGCAATCTAGTATCCATTATTTTTAAAAAATGCTCATCAAACAGGAGTGCTTACCTCTTTTCACTGATTCCATAACTTTTCTCATATGTTGGGTATCAGTCTTTATTATACCATTTATTCTACCATTATAGAATACCCACAATACATCAAGTAATACACTAATCATAGCTATATATCCTCATTTCATTCCAACTCTTTACAGAGTAGGTTGTGTGTAATACTTACACTAGATAAACGTCAAGATGTGAATTTGAAAGCTTTCTATCAAGCCTTTTTTCCCTTCATTGTATAAATTTCATTTATAGTGATATCTTCAAGTCATTAAAGACATGGAAGTCTCTGGATGATGTGATCTCAGACTGCTTTTCTAGTTCATTTACTGCATTCTTTCCTACTTGTTACCATTCCCCCACTCAGCCCCCTTTGAATTTTGGGTTTCATCAAACTCTCTTATATTTCATAGATTTTTTTATAATTGTGCTGTTCCTTCCTGTCCCAACTTTTTGTTTAATAACTTCTACTTATCACTGAAGTGTAGTGCATTAAATATCACTTCTTCAGAGAAGAATGGAGAGGCAAATATTCAGGCAAAGTAAATAGCATATGATGATTTTCTAGGCTGAGAATGTATTATACATAGAAAAATAGAAAGAAGCCCTGTATGTTAGTGAGAGAGAAATCCTCAAATTGTAAATATTAACTATTACTGGGAAAAAGGAAAAATTTCAAATGGGCAGAACCATAAACCGAGAATGTAAACAAATAATGTTAGTAGCTAACAGAATGTTTTTGCAATACCTCTGGACTCCTGTAATCACTGTAACATTCTTTGTTCCATTTTTGTCAATAATTAATGAGTATTTTAAATTTAAGAAGACAGCATTCGATCAAGAAAAACATTTTTGTTAGAATACACTTGCTCTTTACAGTTTTTTATATGGTAGTTGGCCCTTCCTCAAATTTTCCTAAAGAAAATGAATTCTCTTTCCAGTTGTGCAGGAATCTGTTAAACAGATGTTACCGTGAGAGTGGTTTGTTACCTACTCATCTTGGTTTTAGAGTAAGGTATTTTATACCATACGGATTCCATTTCTTCCATTTCTTTTTGCCATTCGTCAAAGCTAGATAGATAATTTCAAGTTGGTCTGGTCAGCTTGTCTCTCATAGCAAAAGACTAGAATAAGATATCCGAGAATTTATATTTCTACTGCTTTTATCCTTAAGATGCATAGTTATTTGATAGACGAATTAGTCAACCACTCTTTTTTGTTGTTGTTGTTTCTCAGCATGGAAGATTGATTCCAGCACCTCAGCACTAAACTATGTTCCTAGTCCATTTTATGTTATTTTATGTTTTGAGACAGGGTCTTATTAAATTGTCCACACTGGGTCTGAACTCGGGATCCTCCTTCCTCAGCCTCAGAGAGTTGGGACTTCTGGCATGTCCCCCGCACCCAGCCAGCCAGCCACTCTATTCCTCTCCTCTCCCCAAGTACAACCATTTACATAAGCTGGAGAGTTAGGCGTGGATTTTGGCCAAACCGGCACCTCCTAACCACGGAATGCCTCAGGCCCATCTATTACTCACAGGGCTTCCTGGGAAGTTCAAGGAATTAGATGAGGCGGCTCCTTCCTACCAAAGGTGCAACTTTTAGTGGAGTCCTCTTCACATTACCTCTCGAGTGGGGCAGTTAAAACTACAAATACCTGGTCCCATCCCCTAAAGATTCTGACTCAAAATTATCTGAATAAGGTGT